GAGGCCACCATCTGCGAGCCGACCTGTTCTGTCAGCAGCTGTGCCCAACCCGGGTGCTGCGACACCACTCCCTGCCAGCCAGCAGTCCTTTGTGTGCCCACCTCCTGCCAGCCGGTCCTCTGCAAACCTAGCTGCTGCCAGCCAGTCATCTGTGAGCCCAGCTGCTGCCCGGCAGTCTGCACGGTGCCTACTTCCTGCCAACCCATGGTCTGTGAGCCTGCTTGCTGCCAGCCGGTGTGCCCCACGCCCAGCTGCTGTCCCTCTGTCTGCTCTGCGACCAGCAGCTGCCAGCCTACCTGCTGTGACTCCAGCCCCTGCGAGCCATCTTGCTCAGGCACCAGCGTCTGCCAGCCAGCCGGCTGCGTGGCCCTGGTCTGTGAGCCTGTCTGCGTTCGCCCTGTCTGCTGCGTCCCAAGCTCTTGCGAGGCCCCATGTGCCTCCGATTGTGAAGAGTCCTCTTGTGGGGTCTCTGGCACTGTCTGCTCGGGGTCAAGCCCCTGCCTGCCCTGTGTCTGTGTGCCCAGCCCGTGCCAACCCTCCTATGTACTCAAGCGCTGTCACTCCGTGTGCTGTGAGCCTGTTTCGGGCCCATCCGCCACCAGCCAACCTCCGTGCCATCGTGCGGGCTCCTCCGCCTCTGCCATCTGCCAACCAACTTACCGTCGCCGGACCTTCTACATACCCAGCTCCTGCAACACCCCCTGCAGCACTGCTGTCTACCGCCCCATCTGCCGCCCTGTCTGCCGCCCCGTCTGCGCGGCGCCCATCACCTACAGGCAGCCGTACGTAACCGCTATCTCCTACCGACCACCCTGCTACCGACCACCCTGCTACCGACCACCCTGCTACCGACCGTGCTACTCCATCCTGCGCCGCCCGGCCTGCTTCACCTCCTACTCCTACCGCCCCATCTACCCCCGCCAGCCCTGTGCCGAGTCCGACTCTGACAAACGTGAGGGCAAGAAGTCCACCTCCAGCCAACCCGACTGCCCTGATGCCACCCCGTGCAAGCCAGACGTCTCTGAAGTGACTCCAGGCCAGCCCTCGGAGGCCAAGCCGTCCAGCCCAGTTCCTCGTGAGACAGCGGCAGCCCAGCCTGCTGCCAGCAAGCCTGCCAATCGCTGACCAGGCCCCAGCCCACCAGTTCCTGCAGAACAAGCCACAAGCTGAGAAGAATGGGACTGTACTTTGCAAAGCTCACTGGGACTTAGCTAGATTCTTTCCTTTCTGCTCTGCCACTTGCCATCTGCTTATGCTTAGAGAGCTCCTCAGGAATGTCAGTATCCTGATGACCACAAGGAAGGCCTCTTGGGCACGGAGAAGGGGACGTTCTGAGTTCTGCCACTAAACCGAGAAGAGCTGCTTTGCCATAACGTTGATGTGTGTCCTGACACAAAATGTTTTCTCTTTTCCTGCATGGGCTCACTTGCAATGCGTGCCATGTTCATCTGGCACTTCTTCAATGAGCTATATTTAAGAGTCCAATAAAAGTGGCTAAGTAAAGTGACACGCTCTTCTTGTTCTATTAATGCCACAATCTCATCAGAAGACTTGTTTCATTTTGGAGAGCAGTTCCATCCATCCATCCATCCATCCATATCAGTCTATCCATCCATCCATCCATCCATCCATCCATCCATCCATATTTATCCATCTATCAATATCCATCACTCATCTATCCATCCATATCTATCTATTCATCTTCTTCTACCCATATCCTTAGCTGGCTTAGCAGCCATTCATCTGCAGGGTCAGGATAGTCAGGGCTCCTCTGAAAGGCTCCCCACTCTGTGTCTAGCTGGGCTGATTGCCCTTTCCTTGTGCTCCATTCACCTTTTCCCTACCAGCCACCTACCCTCCCTCTAGTCATCCATTCATCCATATCCACCCATTCATCCACATTCATTTATTCATCCATGCATCCCTCCATGCATGCATGCATGCATCCATCCACCTATCCACACACTCACCAATCCATCTAACCATATCCATCCATCTACCCACTCCTCCATCCATTCATATATCTGCAAAATCTATCTATCTATCTATCTATCTATCTATCTATCTATCTATCTATCTATCTATCCATCCATCCATCCATCCACCCACCCATCCATTAATATCTATCCATCCATCCTTATCCATCTTTTCATCTCTGTCTGTATCCATCCATCCATCCACCTATCCACACAGTCACCCTCCCATCCGTCCATCCATCCATCCACCCATCCATCTTTGTATCTGTTTATATCCATCTGTTCATATCCATCTGTCCATCCATATCCATCTAGGCATTCATACTCATCCATCCATCCATGCATTTATGATCCACATCCACCCATCCACTCACCTACCCACCCACCCACCTATATCCATCTAATCATCTATCCATCCATCTCTACATTTCCATCCACCCAACTATCATCATATCTATCCATCCATTATCCACATCCATCCATCTGTTCCTTGCACCCATACACTCATCCACCCATCTATTCATCTCCATCCATATCCATCCATCCATCCACCTATCCACACACTCACCCTCCCATCCAGCCCTATATCCATTCATCCATCTATCCATCCATCCATCCATTATGTATCTGTTTATATACTTCTGTTCACATCCATTTGTCCATCCATATCCATCTGTCCATCCATATCCATCTATGCATTCATACTCATCCATCCATCCATGCGTTTATGATAAATATCCACCCATCCACTCACCCACCCACCCATCCAGTCATATCCATATAATCATATATCCATCTCTACATTTCCATTCACACAACTATCATCAAATCTGTCCATCCATTATCCACATCCATCCATCCATCCACCCACCCACCCACTCATTCACCCACCCAACTATCCATATTCATCCACCCATCCATCCACTACTCCACTCATCTAGTATTGTTATATAGTTGTTAAATAGGTGCCAGGTGTTGGGAACCATGAATTATACATTGACATATCATCTGTGCTAGGCTCTCCTTAGCCTGCCTGCCTTGTGGGCCAGTTTTGGAATGTGGAAATCACCTTCCTCTTGGTCAATGAGTTTAGCACCCAGGTGTGGGGATGGATCTTGGCTTGCTTCTTGCATGATGTTAAACTTGCCCATTCTACCACCACCTGTATGCTGCTCCAGGAAAACACCCTGCCCCCTCCCCTATACTGGCTAACAAAATGGGGGCTCCCTGGAGATTCGGGACCTTTTGATCCTAGAGAGCAACTGATGGTCCAGGACCCCTGCCATCCAGCACTCTACTTGGTGTCTTGCTCTTTCTTTCCTTTCCTGCCATGCATCATAACCCGGGCAGGAGACTGGAACCCACTGCTGGGGTCTCCAATAACCAGCACCATGGGAAGGGTCACTAATAGCCAGTGACTTGGTTGGACTCTAAGAATGAAAAGACAAAAATCTCAGTTCTCAGTCTTGAGACCTCACCGGCAGGGTGACATTTAGGCAATGAGACAATTACATTCCTCTGTGCTAACCTCAGGGTCTGTGGATGCAGCAAGATGGGGGATCCAGGTAAAAATTCTTAGGGAAGGTGACGCTGGTGCTGAACTTCTCAGCACAAGTAGGAATTAATCAGTAATGAACAGGGAAGAGAGAGCTCCCTAGGCCTGAAAAACATGCCAATGAATGGGGCTTAGGAGCAAAATGCTCATTAAGCATGGCTTGGGCAGAGGTGACCTTAGAGGACAGGGGAGCTTGAGGTGAGCGAGTAGGCGATGCTCTACCTAGGCTGGGCCTTGGTGTAGACAGAGGCGTTCGGGTTTCACGCAGGGCTGACATGAAGGTGTAGAGTGACTGTATGCTGGGACAGGAAGGGCACTGGGTTTGGGAAACCCTGCTGGCCTTGGTGTGGGGGCCTCAGTGGAAGGAAATGGTCCTGGAAGAAGCCAATGGCTTTGGGGCGTAAGGTGGGATAAAACAGCAAACGGTCATACTTCCAACAAGCTGGATTTCCTGAGGGACAACTTTTCTTATCTACTCCTGGTGTCCACAGACACTGTGTAGACTCCACAGATACCCTCTTATAATCTCCAGTGAAGGATCTCTTGGCCTCAAGGTGCAGCTTGAGCTCCCATGAGTGTAGGCAGAGATAGACTGGGGCTTCTCAACTTGGAACTGTTGACATTTTGAGTTGGGTAATTCTTTGTGGTGCTGTCTGTCCTATACATTCACTGTAGGAAATTAAGTAGCATTCCTGGTGTCCACCAACTAGCCCTTGCCAAATATACCCTGGGACTGCAAATCCACTCATTTGAGAACCACGGTTTAGACAACTGCAGAGGATGAAGCCAAAAGTGAAACTTAGTCTGCATGCTGCTGTTGGAGTTACTATCTTATTGGGCCACTGGGATTTATCTCTTTATCCTTCCAGGGCCAAAAGAGTGGTTCGCTGAGATGTTAAACCTCTGTACAAAACACTGGGTGTATCGTTTCACATATCACAGCAATTCTGTGAGGTATGATGTCTTCCTCTCTATTTTCTTCTATAGCTATGAAATGTAACAGCTGAAGGACAAACAAGGCACCCCTCAGCACACAAGTAAATTGTGGTCTATTCACACAGTGGAATATTATACCCAGCGAAAGTGGCTGAACAATGACAGCCTGCTTCAGCACTGGTGAACCTTACTAATACAATGCTGGCTCATATAAATAATCCCTAGGGGACGGTAGTCATACACACAAAGAGAGTAAGAGAGGGACACAGAATTGAGATCACCACTGGTAAGTAACACACAAATGACTAAAATCCGATTTGGCCCCAGGCTTGTGTTTTTTATGGCTCACCACATTTCTCGATGTGGTCCCAAGATGTCTTTGGTGACATACATGTCTTCGGCACCTCAAGCCACAGAGAAGAGGGATTTCTCTCTCTACGAGAAGTTTCTGTAAGAACACAAAAAAGGAGAGCAAAAGCACTCAGAAAAAACAGGTGCAAATGAATTGCTTAAAAACTGTCTAAGTGGGTATAGATTTTTTTTTCAGGTTGAAGTTGATGTGATTTCTCAACTACATTCATGTTCCTGTTTGATTGATCTATTTGGTAAAACCAAAGTATTTCCTCTTGGGGGTAAACAGTGGGCGGTACAAGGTTCAGGAATGAAACACAGTGCAGGGGTCCCCACAGCTGAAAGATGCCAACATGAGCGCAGATGAGAACAGGGACACAGGACGCACGCGTGGAGCAATGGCAGGAGGAAAGCGTTCCAACAACAGGCGAAGGATCAGAAAACTTTCTCACCCTTTTATAAAGAAGGCGGAGAGAGGCCCAAGAGAGGGTATTTTGCAGCTGGTACTTCGCGAAGTGTCCTCCAGGATTGCTGGGATTTTCAGTAATTTATGAGGGAGCCAAAGAAGAGTGAAAACACCCCAACAGCAGAGCGGGCGAGAAAAGCTCGGCGCCTAGAAAACGGGGTAATCGTCCAACACGGCTAACAGTGGGAGGTAGTAGCAGAGCTAGACATCAAGGCAGCCCTGTTTGGCATCGCGTGACCTCCCCATTCCAACGCACGACTCCGGTGTGAGCCAGGCCAGCACGGGGACCAGCATGGAGCGATGTGGACAGATGCGTGGGCGGGTGGGTGACGAGGATGGGTGGGTGCAGGGGGACGGAAAGACATTGGTTGGCCGCGCAGAGCCTGGACAAGCTCCGAGAAGAAGGGTCAGGGGGCCCCTCACATGCTCCTCTCGGGAGGAACTGATTGAACCCCACACCTGCAGTGGTGTCCTGGTTGTACTTCTGGTGGCTGTAGTTTTGTACTTTTAGAGATCCTGTGCTGTTGACTCCATGTTATGAGCCTTGTTGCCTCCCCTGCCTCCTCCTTCTCCTCCTCCCCTCCCCTCCCCTTGCTCTCCTGCTCCTTCCTTCTCCTCCAGCCTCTTCCTCTTTCCTCTTCACCTCCCCCTCCTCTCCCTTCCGTCTCCTCTTCCTCCCCTTCCTCCCTTTCCTCTTTTTCATTTTCTCCTCCCCCTCCTCCTCCCCTCTCTCCTCTTCCTTCTTCTTCTCCCTCTTGTCTGCCCCTCCTCCCCCTCTCCCCCCTCCCTTCCTCATCTTCCTCTTTGCTCTGATACTGGGGATTGGGGATTGGGGATTGAATCCAGGGCCTTTGCCCTGAGCAACATCCCTAGCCTGTTTAAAACATATTTTATATTGAAATAAGATCTCAAAAAGTTGCCAAATTGCCCAGGCTGTGCTCAAATTTGTGATCTTCCTGCCTTACCTTCCCAGAGTGCTCTGATTACAGACACGTGGGACTGTGCCTGACTTCTAATCTTTCTTGATTAAATATTTTCAGTTTTAAAACTTCCCAGATTAAAAGGCCATCTTTGGGTGCATTGCTAAGTAGAGGTAAGTGTTCAGTGAGTTTGCTACAGTTGATAATTACAGTCGCAGCGGTGGGGAGATGATCCCCAGCCCAGGGACAACCGACTCAAAGCCGTGCTGTGTGGCGCAGTGTGAAAGCCGGCCTCCAGTCTCTGTTCGAGCCCTTCTCCCCTCTCCCTGGTCCCAGGAGTCTAAGTGGTTGAAGTCAGAGATTTCAGGATGAGCCAAGCGGGGTTGGAACACTCCTCATTTCGTGCTTAATCTGGGAACAAGATTTCTACCAAGTTAGTTCTGCCATTTCTATCATAGTGATGCCAATGATACTCACTAAGTTCATTTCGAGGGTAAGTGAGACATACAGTCATGGGTTTGGTGCAAATACTAAATATGCAGCAAATGCAAGACCCCGCAGTTGTTACTGGTTGTCATGTTAATAAAGTTTCAGTTCCAGAAAGAGGTGGAGACACACGTGTCCTTGGGCTCCATCACCTACTTTTCTGCTCCCTATGATTGATACCCTGCCTCCCAGGAGGCTCAGAGCTTCACTTCCTGATTGCAGAGGAAGAGTGGGGTACGGTGGCTTTGGGGAGGCCTCCTGATGAGGGGGTAGCGCCTGCTTCAGTGGGGCTGGGGCACAACCTGTAAAAGAGACAGCTCATCCCAGAGTGACACCAATGAATCCACATTCAGCAAAGACAGCTTCCAGCTCGGCAGACACATTTTTACGGTGGAGCCATCTCCAGGGCTCCTGAAGCTTCTTAATCAGATGTTGGTATGCAAATGAGTAGAAACAATAACAAGGAAAGATGCTCCGTGTGGTGACAGCACCCCTGGCGAAGGACTATAAATGCCTCTCTGTGTAAGATCTTTCCAAGTCAGACACACTGAGTTTGTAACTCCTCAGCAAGGTTAGCACGAGCATGGAGAACAGCTGTTGTCCTGGAAACAACATGGCTGCTCCAGCTGTGCCTACTGCTACCTTGTGCCCGAGAGGCGGCAGAGTCCGAAATGTTATCTGTCTGCCCAGTTCCTGCCAGAGCAGGACGTGGCAACTGGTCACAAGCCAAGAGAACCACCAGCCATCCAGCAGCGCCCCGAGGAGCTGTGAACCCGCCTCTTGCCAGCCTCCTCACCTGCCTGATATGTCCTGTGTGGGTTTCATTTGCCAACCCATCTGCTCCGGCATGGCCTGCGGTCAGCCCGATGCTGGTCACTCTCCTTGTCCGGCTACCTCCTCTCCACCATCCTGCTCGGACTCCACTGGTGGTGAGACAAAGTGCTGCGATGCCAGCTCCTGCCAACAGAGCGCCTGCCAGGAACCTATCTGTGCCCCTGGGTCATGTCAGGCAGCGTGTGGCCAATCTGTGTGCCATGAAGCTAAATCCTGTCAGCCGTCCCGCCCAGACGTCACTTCCTGTGCTGAAACGTCCTGCCTACCTGTTCTCTCCGCGGCTAGTCCCTGCCAACCCACCTGCTGCCGAGGAGGTTCATGGCCCCCCACCGGAGGTGAAGACCAGCCCTACAGTACCACGTGTTACCACCCCATCGGCTATGTCTGTGAGCCTTGCCGGTCTGTTCCCTGCATTCCTGTTTCCTGCCAGCCGCTGACTTGTGTGTTCAGTTCTTGCGGTCCTACTTGCTGGGTGCCCTCTCCCTGTCAAGCGTGTCACTGCCCACCAGCTTCTCCCCGACATTTCATCTGCCAGCCAGTGGCCATCTGTCAGTCCCCCTGCTCTGCAAACAGTCCTTGCAAGCCGGTTTCCTGTGGCACCGCGCATTCCGGCCAGCCAGCCTGTGGTGGACCCGCTTCTCACGGTTGTGGCCGCAAGTCCCCGTCCTGCCCACCAGCTTGCTGTGTGACAGGTTCAGGCAAAGCAGCCGGCTGGGGCTCCAGCTGCCTCCGGCCGACGTCCCCAAGTCTGTGCAGAGCAACACCCGCGTGCTGACTTCCTGCCAGCCCCTCTGCGAGTCCAGCTGCCATAAACCCACACTTCGCCGGTGAGCACCCTCGCCCTCCCCCGAAGGAGGGCGTGCTGCAGTCCGAGGCCCATGGCCATCCTGGGGTGCCTGCCTCCCCGGGGGCTCTGAAGCTGCCCGCGCACTAATGGTATTAGGATCCGGTCCCCCATTCTCTCCGGCGCTGACGAGAGAACTCATCAGCGAATAGGAGCTCGTTCACAATGAAGGGAAATTTTCAGCACACTCGGTGCAGTCTGCACCCTGCCTTTCCTGATGCTCTCAATTCAGGTCCCTCCAGCAAAGCCTTCCCTCCAGCTGTGTTTCCACTGGGTGCTGCCCAGTCTCTCCGAAGATGCCTTTGCTGCCAGCTGCTAATAGAAACGTGAGTAGTTAGGGGTCATGGAGAAGACACACAGCCTGCCTTGGCTTCCTTCAGGTCGCCTGGGGGCCATGGCCTCGCCAGTGAGTTTGTCTGCATTGGTGGGGTGGGTGGCGGATGGCCGGAGCCACAGCTCAAGCTGCAGGGCGGGGGATAAGCGGGTCCTCGGGCTCTGGCCTTTCATTCCCCAGAGCTCTTCCGGGCTGGGTGGGTTTCAGTCTCCCCACAATGCGTCTACTTGGGCAACCAAAGGTAGAAATGGTTCAGGGAAGCCAGAGATTAAAATAAAGGCATCAGACCACAGTGACGTATGCATGTCCATGTTTGTAGAAGGCTGACTCACCATGGCCAAGGCTTGGAAACAGTCTGTACGTCTGTCCACTCATGAATGGATTAAAAGAAATGAGATATTTATATACAATGGAGTACTACTCTGCCAGAAAGAAGGATGAACTTGAGTCATTTGTGGAAAATGGATGTAGTTTGAGACCATCATGTTAAGTGAAGTAACTCAGACACACAGCTTAAATAGCACATGGTTTCTCTCACATGGAAAACTGGTTGTATATAATCTACATGGTACAAAATAAAAGACAGATAATAGAAAAAGGGAGAGAGAGAGAGAAAGTGTTGTAATTCAGCACAGACAGGGTATCTACAAGTGCACCTTGATGTAGTACAATTGTCTTGCATGTTTTATACGCTCTGTTTTTCAGTTTGTGTATATGATCATTAACTGTATAAGGTCTTATAAGATAATTAAATCTGATACAGGAAAAATAAATGGGGGAGACCAAAGGCGGGGGAGGGTAAGAGTTGAACTGTGTTCTATACACACACCAATTCCCTGCAGTGAGTGGAATCATTACATACTGCATGTTTTTGTTTTTTGTACTGGGAATCGAACTCAGGACCTTGCGCTTACCAGGCAGGCGCTTGTGCCACTGAGCTATATCCCTGGCTACGTACTGCAAACATGGACCAATAAAAGTAAAACATAAATAAAAAAAGAAACTAACTTTTTCAAATAAGATCCTAACCACCCCCCAAATAGACAGTGATACTTATTAAGAAACAAAAACTAGAGATAACATCTATGCCTAGCAATAGGTATTGATCATTTAAATACTGCAAGATTCATGCAATAGAATAAGTGTAATTTGTAACAATAATAATAAAGAACTATGTCTGGTAGCCTCAATATAGGTAATATGAAGTATAGAAAGTGAGCACATTTTTGTAAAAATTACTTATTTTACCTGTATATGTGCATAAAAAAAATCTTGTAGAAAATACAGGTTACTTTTCTTTTCTTTCTTCCTTTTTTTTTGGTGTGGATGCTGGGGATTGAAACCAAGGTCTTTACAATGAGTTACTTCCCTAACACGTTTTAAAACTATGAACCCAGGGTCTTGCTAAGTCCTTAAACTGTCCAAACCGGGCTTAAACTTGTTACCCTATTGCCTCAGCCTCTCCCAGTGTTAGGCTTACAGGCATGTACCTTCATGCCTGGCTTTTTTCTTTAGCTTCTTAAAAAAATTATCTTTAGCTGATGAAATAAGACCTTTTAGTACTTTAATTTCCTTCTTCCGTGTTGGATGGCGTTTTTCCAGAGGTGATGAATTACTAATGTTAAAAAACTAAAATTCTTTCAAACATTAGAAAAAAATAAACGTGAAGCATATTGGCCATGGAGGATAGTTTAAGGTGAAGTCACTTAACATTAGTTTTAATGATAAATTTACCAAATGGCCTGTTTAAATAAAATTTAAAGCTCTTTAGATTCTTTCTGTAGTTTGTTGTGTTTTCACATTGTAAGAGACAGTTTTAAAAATGATTAGTTCTAAGGAACTTCTGATCCTCTTTTATATTTCTAGTGTGTAGTTATTGAATCTGAACACTTTTAAAAGTGTTTCACACTGTGGAAATCGGTGTAGAGATTCCTAAGTAAACTAGGATTAGAGGTCCCATTCAACCCAGCTATTCCCCTCCTGAGTATTTTTCCAGAAGAACTGAAAACATCATATCACAGCAATATATGTGCACCCATGCTTATAGCAGTGCAATTTGTAACCCAAATGTCCATCAGCTGAGGAATGGATAAAAAAGATGTGGTATTATTATACCATGGAGTATTACTTAGCTATAAAGATAAACTAGAGGCTTTTATAGGTAAATGGATGCAACTAGAGACCATACTCATTAGTGAAATAAATCAGATTCACATGTGTAAACATCATATTTCCTTCCTACTATAAGAACCTGAAAGAGTAAATAAAATCTGAAAGGTACAATAGATATTGTGAAAGGGAAAAGAAACTGCTCAAATAGGAAGGAGCAACTGGAACGAAGGAGGGGAGAGGAAAAAGAAGGAAGAGGGAAAAATATACATGTATGTATACACTGGAGAGCTAAGATAATTGTACTACTAATATCTGTTGATTTATTAAAGTAACTGTTAATGTGTAATTTTTTTTTTTTTCTGGTACCGAGAATTGAACTCATGACCTCATGCTTGCCAGGTAGGCGCTGTGCTGCTGAGCTAAATCCCCAGCCCCTGTTAATGTGTAATTGATTAATCTTGCATGCCTATATCTGGTTATATGTGCAACCATTTTGAAGATGACATTATGTAATATAACAACCATTGTTAATATCCTATCACCATGTTTTGAAATTCTACATCATTTTTATTGTTCTCTATGCTGCTTTGTTTATGTATTTGTTTTTGTTATTTTTGTTTTTTTAAATGAAAAACAAAATTTATATGTATATATAATGATAGCTGGAATAGGTGTATTGCTGATGTTGGTGGTTGACTGAAAGGAACAGTCAGTGCTTAAGATTTTCTTTTCTCTTGGCCAGTTTTGCATGCTTGAATCTGGTAATCAGAATGACTGATCTGAAAACAATATGCAGTGTAAGAACCATTGTTGAATGCCTACCATCTTGTATGGTGAAGCTCTGCATCATTTCCAATTTTTTTTTTTTATTACTTGTTGCTGTTTTTGATTGTTTGATCAATCTTACATTCTTATGTCTGGAGGACTGAGCAACTTTGTTGAAGATAACACTATGTAATGTAGCAACCAGTGTAAATTCCTATCATTTTGTTTTGGGGTCATGCATTGTCTTTGTGTTGTTTTCACTGTTTTTTTTTTTTTTTTTTTTTTTTTCTCCATAAAAAAATAAAAGCGGTTGCACTGATTTCCTTTTGTGAAAGTCTTAGGTGAAAATTTATCTGTCCTCTTCGTTAGTTAAGGACCTCTGGGTTTGAGATGATTTAGGTCTGAAACCACGTGAAAGGCCGTGGGCCCACTCTGGGACAGTGGAAGCCAGGTTCTTCTCGTTGTAGCCATCCAGGTATTCCGGCACCATCTGAAGAAAAGACTCTGTTTCCCCACTGGGTCACCTTAGAACGCTGGTCTAAAGTCAGCTCACATGAGGTAGATGGTATCTCTGGAATCTCAATTGTGTTACTGAGTCAACTCTCATCTTAGTTCTCTTGTTGGTCTGTTTGTTTATCCCGGCTCCCCTGAACAGGATTTAGGGATAATTATCCAAGACGCATAAGCCACTGGAGCTATCCGCGCATACGCCAGCACTTCTGTGTTGTGGCAAAACACAAAATGAGCCTTATTTGATAAAGTGGTGTAGGTGTGATGAAAATAGTTTATTTGGTCATTCATATAGGATATAAGACTCATCCAAATCCCCTTCATCAGCAGTTAGAAAATTTATTGGCAAAGCAGGAAAAATAAAAAACGCATTAACCTTTCACATTCACGTCAAAGCATAGCCTGTGGAAAGGTCCATGAAAGTTAAAATAGGTGAGAGTCTCATTCCACAGAGTCTTCTCCTCTGCAGAGAGAGTAGGACTTGCTGAGAACTTGTGGGCTGGAGGATGCAGGAGACACTTCTATCTCAGCTGGAGCCTCCCAGTGTGATTTCACGGCTCAAGGAGAGTCAACGCACAAGTATTTGCACTTTAGAAATGCAACCCAAAGAGAAAATTCCAATGCAAAGGTGAGAGAGAAGCCCTGGACCACGCTTCAGAGGAAAAGGCCTAAGTCCCACCTGGGATACTCATTTGTCAGGTGACCTTTTTTAAGACCAGAGCTCCGTCTACATATTAAATCTCCCACCTCCAAAGCCCCATCTACGGCTGCAGAGCCCCATCTACAAAAGGAAGAGTTAGGTTAATGTATTCCCTGGATTCTTCCTGGTCCAAGAAGCTCTAATTATTCACCCTGGATTAAGATAAAAGCTTCTTATACACTGGAGCCAATGAGAAAAGAATAACCTTGAGATAGGAACAGTGCTTCAAAGAAAAGGAACCAATAGACAAAGAAGCTTGTGAAAGGATGCTCCAACGGTCACTCTTTAGAGAAATCCAAATTAAAATAACCATTAGATACCACTTTATAGCCATTAGATGCCAGATAATAGAATACTGTGTCAGGAACTCAGTAAACTTTTTTGTAAAGGAACGGTTAGTAAATATGCAGGCTTTGTGAAGCATACAGGCCTTATTTCAACAATTGAATTTTGCCATTATGTCATTAAGGTCTTGATGGACGATGTGTAAACAAATGAGTGTGGCTGAGTTCTAATAAAACTTTATTTACAACAACACGTTGTGGACAATGTTTGGTTCATGGGCTGTAGAAAATAGTGTATAATAAATGTGTAAAATAATGTGTTGTGTGTTGGTGGGATCATGAGTTTGTAGGAACCTCCAGTACTAGGATGGTGGGATATTGGTTTGTTCAGCCACTTGAAACTACACTCTGAACTCATTTAGGTAAATTATACGAATGCATATTCTGTGATCCAGAAATCCTGCTCCTGAGGATATACTCCTCCCAAATCCTTACACAGGTTTATAGAGGAACACACGCAAGGGTGTTCACCGTGGCATTTCTGTGTTGGCCTGGAGTCTAAAAGAAATCTGGTCTACCGCTGAGAAAGTGGGTAGGAAAATGTGTGTGGGGCCCTCTGCAGAGTGTCCTGTTAGGGATTAGAGGCAATGTATTATTCAGATGCAGAGATACATGGCTGTATCTTAAAGCCATGCTGCTTTATTAATAAAACAGAATAAGAGGTCACTCACTGCCACTCACATGCCTATATTGTCAGCTCTGCCATTTCATAGTAAGAAATACTTTATAAGAATTCATGCAAAAAATGCACAGAGCACAAAAGAACAGCTGCTTCTAGGAAGAAACTGAGGCATAGGGAAAGCAAGAATTAAATCATTTGATACATAAGCACACAGAGAAAAAAAACGTAAGAAAGGGATTTTGCAAGGTTCAAAGAGGATAATGTTTCCCTTGGCAGCTGAGCTCCAGAATAAGAAATCAGAAAAGGCGGAAATGGAGAGAAAAAGAAACCTTGATATCACAATAGACTTATCTTTATTTTTTAAAATTTATTTTAAAAATAAAAGAAGGAAAACGTATTCACAAACAGACATCCATTTACAAAGTAACTCAAGAACAACACAAGCAATCCTGGATTACAGACAAAGTGGTAGGAAATTAACAATGGTTGTTGCATTACATATTGATATCTTCAAAGTGGTTACTCAGGAAGACAAACATAGACATGCAAGGTTGATCAAATAATTAATCATTAACTGTTCCAGTAAAGCAGTAGAAGTCAGCAGTACAACTATGTTAGCTATCCTGTGTATACATACATACATAACTTCTTTCTTTTCTCTTTTCCCACACCTCAGTTGCTCTTCACTTTTGAGAAGTTTCTTTCTGTTTCACAATGTCTGTCATACCTCCTAATTTTTATTCACTCTTTCAGGTTCTTACACTAGTAAGACAATACGTTGCTTACACATGCAGGTCTGGTTTATTTCCCTTCTGAGCATGGTCTCTAGTTGATCACAACAGATTTATCATGGATGAATGTCTTCCCGAATGGTGTTTGGCGGGATAACCTGTCCCAAACCCCTTTCCACATCTTCCCCAGAGTCCTGTCCTTCAGGCAAGGGCTGAGGATCTGGGAAGCAGACCGTCTTGCTGACACTTCTCCTTATGTCCCCTCTGCTTATGTACTTTGTTTATTGAGCCCAGCATTCTCAATGGACCTGGAATTTCAGATTTCATTTCGCAATAGTTCTTTGGCCCCACCTGAGTCTCTTTTCTCCTTGTTGTCATCCCGATGATGAATTTCTCAGTTAACTGCAGATAGCTTGCTCTGGCCCTCTGCCAGCACGGCAAACTGCCGGCCCTAAACATGTCAAATGAAAAATGTGGGCTGGACGACCCGCACCTTTCCCCACGCTTGGCAGCAGTTCAAGTAAGCACTTATTTGCTTCTTTCGGGACTGCTGGAACTTGCCCATAAAACCTCTCCTGTCTCCTATTATAAGCAACGCTCTATCCAGCCTGAACATGCTTACAGCTAAATCCTTATTTACACTCTGCCTCAACTGAGTGGGAGGATGATTTTTTAAAATATGAGAAAGATATGACAGACACCATGGAGAACTGTTATTTTCTTTCGTCTCCTTTGGATTTTTAAAACATACAATTGAAATACAACAGTATTCATAAAGCTGAAGTCCCTCTGATACCCATCCCGCCTCTTCTCTCCTCTCCTTCTCAGCCACAGTCTGCACCATGACTTTTCACTGTCTCCCCCTCCAGTTACTGTTAGTGTCTAAAAAAAGAAACATATATATTTACAAAGTATACAAATAATATCTGCGTTAGGGGTGCAAATTTGAGAGTTTACATACACCATGTGAAATTATGCAATTTACTTCTTTAGTTCATTATTGCTCTCAAGAACTGCGCGTTTTGGTGCATGGGTCCATTTTATTTTATTAACAATCTGTTGCCGCCATGACACCTTAGCCCCAAACTTCGTGGCTGAGAACAGCAAATATTTGTTATCGTACTGCTTCCGCAGGTAAGGCTTGTAGGTGCGGCTTGGTGAGGTATCTGTAGCTTAGCATCTGAGCTACGTATAGTTATTACCTCGAAGTGGAGCCCCAGTTAACACAGTGTCTCTTCCAAGCAAAGTCCAGATGCTCTGAGTCTGACGGGAAAGGCCCTCAGGTGGATCTGCCCCCAAACTGTCTGCCTAGTTGGCCCCTGGTGCATTTCCTATCCACTCTCGGCTTGAACTCAGTGCCAAGTGCTTACTAGCACTGAATGAGGTAAGATGCTGACACTGAACTGAAACGAGTCTTTCTGCTGAATGTCACAGACCAGCTAATCCAGCAGTAATAAAAAGTGAAATTGTTTGACATCCCTTGGTCTAATTAGTCCTCTGTTCTTTCTTTCTCCAGGCACTCACAAAGGACCCTTTGAATAATCTAGGATCTTGTTTTGAGACAAGATCGAGCTTATCAGTGCATGGCCTGTGGAAACCTGAAAAATTGGAGTGGCATTTACTTGACTTGTCTCAACAGCTGAGCGTTTCTCTTCCCCCAGAGTTGTGTAAGTCTCAGTGAGTGCTTTGCTTTTATCTCGAGCTGCTCTGGGACATAACGTGTGTAGTGTAGAGCAGCATGGATTTCTGCAGAGAACCTCAGTGTTTATAAATGGATGTGTCCTGAGACAAGCCCATGTTTTTTCATTTGTATTTTTCCCCATTGTCTGAAAAAAATGGACACCAAATAAGAGCATTTCTGGCACAAGCTTGACACTGCACTACATTCCACAGGGAGGCCTCAGGCTGGATCTGAGGCGCCGGTCAGTGTGAACTAAGCTTGGGTTTTTCTTGCCCAGCACATACATCTTTCCTGTTCCTGGAGCACATGTCGGATGGGAGGAGGGGGAGGATAGAGAACCATCACCATAACCTGAGTGAGATATATCAGACACAGGAGGTTAAATATCTCATGGTTTCTCTAATATGCGAAGCCCAAATTATACACGATTTAAAGGGCAAACTGAAGGAGAGACGGCAGGAAGCGGGAAGGCAGAGTCCGCAGCAGGAAGGGTTGGGAGAGGGAGGGGGAGAGGAGGAGAAAAAACCGTCAAGATTCGATGTGCACATGTGCCAGTTCCTCCAGTGAAGGCAGTTATTCTGTCCTGCAAATGTATATACCAGTAAAAATTAAAATTAAATAAAAACAAAGACACATAAGCAAACCTGAGGAGAAACTTCCTGCCACACTGAGGAGCTGTAGTTAAGACAGTCAGCATGGTTGGAGGACCGGAATGGCAATTGATCCAATTTTTAATGCCACCCGTTAACTCTAAACAAAACCCAAACTATCACCAGTGGCCATGAGGTCTAATTTTTTTTTTTTAAGGGTGATGGAAAACTTTTAAACAGGTCATGAAAGATTGCTCAAACCATTATAGGGAATAAGAAAATAATTCTTTGATTAAAACATTGAAGATAAGGGGCGGGGGATTTAGCTCAGCAGCACAGCTCCTGCCTGGGAAGTGTGAGGTCATGAGTTCGATCCCTGGTACTGGAAGAAAACAACAACAACAAAAACATTAGAGATAATACAGAGTTTCTCTAGACAAGATGGTAGGAGTTGACTATTGTAATTCCACTGCATGTTGTTACCTTCAAGTCAGTTGCTCAGACCACCGGACACAAGCATGCACAGTCGGTCAGAACATAAAACATTGTAATCATCATTCATTCTTACGTCTGGTAGTCTGAGCAATGTAGTTGAGGATAGTGATATGTAATGTAACAACCACTGTTGATTTGTATTATTTTGTCATGAGACTCGGCATCACTTTGAATGTTCTTGCTTTGATTTATGTTTGTGATACTGGTATGCTGCTACTGTTCTATTTCTTTGTTTGTTTGTTTCTCATTTACTACTCTCTTAAAAAAAAAAAAAAGGTCATGAAGGTTAACAAAGATTTCTTGCTTGCCCAAACTTTAGTCAGGCTTCTGAACCTTCTCCTAGGTCCAGGTACACGCTTCCTTGAAAAGTCTGGTTTTGTAACAACATTTAGCCAAGAGCCCTGCTGAGTCAGTTTACGAAGGCCTCTCCTGCCTTTGACATCAGCTCACTCTGCACAGCTGCTGCGGTCCCTCATCCTCCCCCGTCCGCCAGGTGGTCATCCAGCTAGGGTCCTGTCGGGTTGGGTTAGCTGGGATCCCCCTTAACCAGCTGGCTCCTTGGCCACAGACCGATGACGGCGAACCTTTTAGAGCCATCAATGATGCAGACAGCCCACTGTGGCACGCGTGCCATTGGCTCCCACCACTGCTTCCGACCCTCACTGTCCGTGTTGTCTTTAGAGTTGAGCCCAGTCTCTCTCCTTCACTGCAAGACCCTGTTCCAGGGCTTCCTAGGCCATCAAAGGGGTCTTGAATACAGTCTTCCTTACTGTGCTCGGGCAGGTGTCACTGAATAATTTTTCTTCAACAAGACTAGGGTGAGTTTTCTTAAGTCAAATCTTGTTATTTCCCTGAAAACACCTCATTCCTCCCGAGGAAGAAACATAAGAAGCTTGTTTTAAATGTACATCAAAACCACCAGAAAAGCTCACCTGACTGAACCGAACAAACAGGACAAAAGGGGCGGAAGAAGAGTGGGTAGAAAAGGCCATGCCATGCACGGACGTCCGGTTGTCACTGGTGAGCCAAGTTCCCTCTCACAGGACACACCGGTGGGGAGAATTACTATTGGTCAGTTCAGAGCAAAGTGAAAGAGAGAAAGCAGAGATTCAGGCCCTGAGCATAATTAAGACTTAATAATTAGGAATGCAGAAAATCCTAGAAATACCACCACAAACAGCAACCTCCCTATCATACAAAGCAGATTGTGCAACAGTTGAGAGAATGCTTAACGTCTCCACGAACATTGTAGGTTGTTTTAAGGGTTAGCAAGCAAAGTAGCCCTTGCAGTTCAGATCCTGGTGGCTGTAGTGCCACAAATGCATGATGCGCGCCACGTCCCAAGACAGAAGGAGTATTGCCCTGTCACTGAGCTCAGGGTGAATAAAAATGATCACCAATACTGAAGTAGGTCCAGTCTCCGCATAGCTTGGTTTCCTGATGATTCTTCAAACATCACCTGTGGGAGTTCTGCACTCTTACTTGCAATGTGTCTCTGTGTCTGAGAAGTAGCCAGTTCAAGGCAAGGAAACTACAATTTAGAGAGAGATTGAACTCTCTCCTATGCTATTTATATCCATGTGGGGGCCATGCCTCCCTCTTCAAAATTTTCTCTACGCAATTCTGCTCACATACTGTTTTTGAACATGTAAGTAATTTTGAGACATCTTCCTTTTTTATGTCATAGACATGACTTTACCAGTGGAACTGAAATGAACTGATTTCTTCACTTATTTTGTGTGGAGGAAAAATTCTCTCTCTTAAGGGATTTGTTTTTGGTCTTACTGAGATTCTTGCTTTATATCTTAAATGCATTTATACTTTGCAATATTTATTCCTGTTGGGCACTTCAAGGGGAGTTCTTGGGAAGAACTGGGTTAATTTTGTTAGGGATCAACCTTAAGGGTGAGAAGATTATTGCAATTTGCTCCTTTCCAAGTTAATCTTTGTCTCAGCAGGAATCTGGGTGAAGCTATCAACTTGGTTTTTATCTCACCCTTATCTTGGATGAGGAATGCTTTTGATTAGAAAAGAGGTCTGCAAGCTTCCTGGCCAGAACAGGTTATAATCAGAGTGAATTCAGGGGTCAGGAAGAGTGGGCACGGTGTGTACGTGCTCCTTATTGAGTTTACATGGCCTGTACAACATAGGCTTTTAACTTTATGCTCTGGATGCTGAGAAGAATCTGATATGATCCACTTTGGTGTTGTAAATCAAGGATTTTTGAAGAAGAAGGCCTGGGAAAGAGAACACAGGATGCTATAAAATGCCCCTGATGTAGGGCTCTGTCTGGTGTCAGGACATGTGTAGGGGGAGTTGGGCTTGGGAAGCGATTGTTATGTCAGGCTTGACGTTGGGCAGGCCTGCAGTCTCAGGCCTGCTTTCCACAAACATTTGTCAGAGGACACATTTGTAGTCTGTTCCTTTAGATCTCCCCATAAGTTATTGGCAAGAGGGCAGCTAGAAGAGAAAAGAGGAGATGAGCTGAAATGGTGGGTTGATCCCCAGGATGGCAGAAGTCAAGGAACAAGGGAGCTTCCTGGGGTGGCTGAGCAGAGGGGCTGGGACCCCACGAACCATCGGACTGGAAAGAGGAAGAAGAGTGTGGATAGATGGCACAAAGCCAGAAGACTCAACACATTTGAAGAGGAAAGACAGAAGCTCTGAGTGTGAGCTACAGTATCCACACGCCCGTGCTTGCAGTGATGTCAGAGGAATGCCGTCACACACACAAAAGAGCCAATGTGACACGGTGATGACTCTTACCATCAGGGAATGATTCTACATCACTGGGGATTCCTCTGAAAGGAGTTTGGAAAATAAGCCCCTAAGTTATCTTTGAATACAGCTGGAAATGTCCTAAAGAGCCAGGAGGCTCTATGATGTATCAGTGTAGGGACTGCCCCCACGCAAGACACATTGGGACTGCAGGTGGATACACCCAAGACTTGGAATCTACAATAAGAGTGATCAAAACCAAATTACTCAAAATCACCTTAAAGGAAGAAGAATATCCAAAGTGTGAAGACTTGACTCAGCTCTGACTGAATACTTAAAAATATGAAGGCTAAATGTGTGTGTTCACAAACATGGAAATTCAGAGTTAAGATGAATGATGGGACAAATGTCACTGGTGCCCATGGGAGAGTGGAAAGTCTGTCGTGGGGCTGTGAGTTTCCGAGTCCTGTGGGTGAGACCAGTTGCGAGGCGAATGTGTTCAGTGCCCTCCAGTGTCAACCCCCTTAACTTCCGGTATCGATACCGTCGTGCTCATGTGGTGGTTAAGAAGTTCCTGTTAGTGAATTCTCCAGCAAGTTAATGAGTAGGTGCCTTTGCTTTATGGGCTTGCTTAACGTGAGTCTGCTGCATGAGGTGGCTTCCTCTGGGGATGTAAACAAAATCACGTCTCTGCTTGCACAGGGCTGAAGGGCAGAAGCCCTCTGATTTATATCCAGGTTGGGAATTCTATCCTGAATGTCTTTTGGAAGACAGCTCTCTGTCCCCAGATGAATGACATTTATCGTGACCAAGTGTGTGTGTTCCTTGAAGTGTGATGTGTTTGGATGCCACGGACTCCAGAGAATGACAATGTGTTAGTAATTAATCGATTTAACAATGACAGAGCAAGCCAGAGTGTGTCTGGGGGCCTTGAGGAGTCCCAGGCATGGAAGGGTTCCAGATAAACTTCCTGCTGTAAAGTTGACAGAGCCAATGTTTGAATGTCTCGCAACCAAACACTTACACACCCAGGGAGGTCTGCTCCATCTGGCAAAGCACTTTTAAAGGATTTCTCCAAATATTAAGTACACTCACTCCAGGTCGCCGGGGGACTGTGCAATCACAGTGGCATTCCTGAGCCCTTCCTTGTACTCCTTACCCGTTCTCTATTCAGGCCCCTTTTGCCGAGAACTGAAATTCTTTTTCTCTAAACACTGCAATCATCTCCTCACTTTGTGGAATGCAGTTCCAATCAAGCAAGCATTTCTCCGCCTTCTGAGCACAAGTTTTTAGACGGTCCTT